ATCAGAACGGAGAGAGACTCGATGGTAAGACTGCTATCGTCACAGGAGCCAATGCCGGCATTGGCAAGGAGACAGCTCGTGCTTTGGCAGCCAAAGGTATCGCATACATTCGCATATCACTTATATAAAATTTTAATATTGGTTCTGTCAGCTACCAAGGGGGGTCTGCTTGCCCTTTTGCGTAGAGCGTAATCAGCTCTTTTAATTCCACGTAATTCGCAGTGGGACCGCTCAGTAATCTAATGTAAATCGTATTGGGTGCATTCATTAGTGTAAAGTGAAGCCAGCTGCTGCCTTTCTGAATTTAGCGTAAAGCGTTGATATAAATACAGACGGACACACATGCAGGATCATTTGTAAGATAGGACGTCCTTGGTCCGATGTGAGATTCTTCAAAATCGCAGCGCCAGGTTTTCGTTTGTAAAGGGAAAGAGAGTCGAATGCAACAGGTGGTGTTAATAGTTAGTTTCCCGAGCGCCCTATAGCATTATATTAATGCCTTTTTGTTGCACGACATGTATATATTTGCCTACATACTGGCCAAGTAGCCTTTGCTTGCATAGCATTCTAATAGCTAGCTTTCAGACAAGGCGATTTATGAAATGTTTACTAAACAGAACTGGAACCCTTGAGACTAGGGTAACATATGGTGTATATTCATGATACAATTCGGGCACTGGCGCTTGATAACACTTGTAACAACGCTAACTGTCCAACATACGGGGCCAACTGGCCTGGCCAACATCGTGTCTTGTACCCGAAGAGATCTGCTTGAAGATTTCCGAAATCCCAGTTATCATATCGCGTCCGTCTCAGTGGGATATCATTAAAATGCATCTTCTTACCACTTTTATTATTGCTGCTGCCGTACTGTAGGTTAAGTTCATCAAAACTTGTTTACCGTTGTTATTTTCTGACGCATCTATAATACTGACAGCTAACAGTTAATGCTACATAGATCCATTAGAGCCGTTAGCTACGCATGTAAGATATTGACCATGATATCATGGTATAACCTTTTATGTAGAGCGTAATCAGAAGTTTTATCGTACGCAATTTGTAGATAGACCATTTCACTACAATTTACTGTACGGTGTAATCTGTGCGTTCTACCCATAGATATATAGCGTAATAGTGCCTGGATTTAGCTTTTGTATTTCAGCGTAGCCGTTGCTTTTTGTACGTAGACGCCACTCCCCCCTCATTGTCCCCACTTTCTGGCTAGTAACTACGTGTATGAAATATTAACATCTTACTATATAGGTTTGTTTTTTGGCTACTAGCCAAACTAAGCAATCACGACTTACCTATTTTACACGGGCCAACAGGAGCCCGGGTCATCCTAGCGTGCAGGGATACCTCTAAAGCGGAAACTGCTGCAAAAGACATCCGGGAAACTACCGGAAACGGAAATGTAGTCGTGGAGGAGTTGAACTTGGCGTCTCTCGCCTCCGTCCGCAAGTTCGCCGCGAGAATCAAGAAGAGAGAAACGAGCCTAGACGTTCTGATAAACAATGCAGGTTTGAAAGTTTTCATAAAACTATTTGTTTATATTTATTGCTATACCCTTGGTAGCGTAGAACAGGTTTATGTTCTTTTAATTATACACTGCTATATAATAGGCACAAAAAGTGTCCGATACGTACAAGTTGCAGGATCGCATAACTGTCTTAAACTCTCCCTTTTGTAAAATAAACAATGACGCTACGATTTATTTATGGTTCCTCTACCAAAAATACTGTAGAATAGATATACAGCAAACAACTCAAGGTTGTTTATACTTATCAAATGCATGGAATTTCGAAAGTATGTGACACAGTTTAAGCAATAAAGGGACGTCTCTACAATCAGCCACCTGGCTACAGCCATACTGGTCTTCCTTTCATATTCCATGGCATGTTCAACTTCAACTGTTCGCCATCTCAAAATCTTACAACAGATAGACATTTTCTATATAAACATTCATACCTCGTTCCAGCCGTGAGCGCTTGTCCCAAATGGGTGACGGAAGACGGTTTTGAGAGACAGTTCGCCACGAACCACCTGGGTCACTTCCTCCTCACCAACCTGCTGCTGGACCTGCTCAAGAAGTCTGCTCCCAGCCGGGTCGTCATCGTGTCCGCCGTCCTGTACAAGAGAGGGAAGATCGACTTTGACGACATCAATTCCGAGAAGTCGTACAGTCCGCACGGAGCGTACTGTCAGTCCAAGTTAGCGAACGTGCTGTTCATGAGAGAGTTGGCCAGGAGACTGGAAGGTAGGAAAAAGTCAGCATTTTCTTCAATGGATATACATTCAAAACGCTATATTTTTGACAGTATTTTCTCTATGAATATGCGTTCAAAACGCTCTGTTTTAGCGACGTCTCATGACCAGAGGCATTTCATATAAATATTACAAATACGTCATGTAGCAATAATTTTCAAGACGGCTGATAACAACTGTCGAAATCGAAGACTCCAAAGGGCGGAAAACACGTATACAGTATTTCTTACCCTCTCCGATGTTACTAGAATTTCCAACAACTGTTGGGGGGGGGGGCAAAATGTGGGCATTTTTTAGTTGATTCAAAACCAGAATCTTTCTTTTTTTGCAAATCAGAAAAAAATTAAGAGATGAATCCGAAAACCAACAAATTCAATTGGTGTGGCCTTAGCTTTATTTTGAATTTGACGACTGTTAGGTACTGGTGTCACGGCCAACGCCCTGCACCCGGGAGTCGTGGACACTGAGCTGTCCCGTAACTTCTCCACCACGCTGGGCTGGATCATGCTGCTGCTCGGTCCCTTCTTCACGGCCTGGGTCTACCTGTTCGCCAAGACCGCCAAACAGGGCGCGGAGACCAGCGTACACCTGGCCGTGGACAAGGAACTGGAGACCACGTCTGGTGTCTACTTCAGGTGAGGTTGTTTTACGACTTTACGTTTGTTTTACGGTAAAGTAGTTAATACTAGGTCATGCATGTGATTGAATACTTCGTGATAACGATGGCATTGATTTTCGTGGCTTCTCTTACTCCCTATTCTTTAGAATCATTACTTTAAAAAAAGAGACACTCCGTTCACTTTTTTGGTTGTATTTCACACTGCAAAGACCACAAAAAGAGTAAATAGATAAACGTTTGCAGGGGTACAAGACTGCGGCAGACTGGCGACCGTGTATGTTATCTTATTTTCTTCCTTGTACTTTCCCTGTAGTGACTGCAAGCCAAATGAATTAGCTCCTGTCGGTAAGGATGACGCAACGGCCAAGAAACTCTGGCAGATCAGTGAAGAAATGGTCGGGCTTAGCGGCTAACCTACTGGAGGATTGGGATAGTTGATGGACATATACACGTATGATATACATACGTGAGTGGAAAACCAAAGAAACCTGATATAAAATATGTAAGAAAGTGTTGCTACATCAAAAAAAATGTCCGACTCGGTGATATCATGGTCTAATGTCGCTACTCTAGTGGCAGAAACATTAGTGGTCATACAAGCTGTGAATTCTTTCAATAGACCGTTCCTGAATATCTGACAATGTTAGCAGTTCAACCAATGATAGCGTGGCAATTAGCGTTTCGACCAATGGGAGCGGCTGGATGTCTGTCAAAATATTTGCACCGGTAGGTTATGAGGAGGTGGGCGGGGTTGTAGGATCGGTCAACAGCCATTGAAAGATTAATCTATAGCAGACAGATAGGTAGTTGCAACGGTTCACATACACTTTATCACATTATATCCGCGCTATGCACTTCAGGTCGGTCTGTTGTCTAGAAAGTCTAGCCATCTAGCTCCTGAGATGACCGCCGTATTAGAGATGATTACATGTGCATGTAATCATCTCTAATGTTATGTTACGAATCCGATACGTTATGATACAACCTACATCCACATTTTACAAGCCCTTTGAGGCTATATGTCAGTTATCTATTTCCCATGTTTACTTCTTTTTATCGACACTGCCTTTTGTGGACCAATTGTACATGTAACTTTTATATGTAATAAATTTTCCTTGTTATCGAACCGGCGTTCAAACAAAAGTATCAATCTCACCCCAATCGTAGATATATACATGTAGTTATGGTTTATTCAAATCCAAAGCGATTAGATAAGTTACTCGAGACACCCAGGTGATGAAATGCACAAGAAAACATTTACTGGCTCAGGCAACAGGATAGATTCTGAAAACTGTCAATGACTCACGGTGAAAAATATTAGATGCTACTTAAAACATCTGGACAGTTTTCATAACTGTTTTCTTGTGTATCATTGGAGAACTTGTTGACAGAAGAAGAACCGCTTGCTTGATATCTTTATACAAAATTGCTCATGGACATATCAACATTCAAACAGAACAATATCTCCAACCTGCCCATAAGCGCACCAGAGGAAGTCATGAATATAAATATCAAGTAATACCTGCCAAAACAGACTGTTTTAGATTTTCTTTTTTTTTTCCACAAACAATAAAAGAGTGGAATAAGCTGCCGGGACAGTTAGTACAAGCCCAGACAATGGAGGCCTTTAAGGCCGGACTCCTGGCCGCGCAGCCATAGTCCGTCGTAACCCCCCCCTCTCAGTGATACCCCAGTAGGGGTCTTTAGAGAGTAACAAGAAGAAGAAGAAGTTGTTGCAGCAAGTCTTCCAAGTTGTTTGCATAAGTCTACATATGACAGAAAACTTATTTTACTACCAGTCTTACGTAGGGATATAGGTATGGATTCGATACAAACATCCTCAAAGGCGTTCCATAGTCATTATGGTTATATTATGTGTTATTTTCCAAACACTATCTTTTGCTTCAAAAGATTATTTATTCTGATGTGCATCTCTGTGATATTTGCACACCATAGTTAGGACTTACGGTCCACACGCTGAAAGGATGATACGCACACGTACATGAGGTTATTGCAGGTCGTTGTACTATGACCGTTAAAGGTGAGAGGGACAACAAAGATGGCGTCCAATTATTTTGAACTGACTGGTAACATCGTCGACTTCACCCGGGCCCACTGTACCCTGGTGTTGTCTGCTGTCGCCGGAGGTGAGTACTTCTGACATCTTTGGAGATAATGTCTTGAAGAGGACATTCTGTAGACTGACTTGACGTTTCGTGGCGTAATGTTAGCCTTGTATTTGTAGAGCCTTCTACGTGACCGAGCGTTTCCTCGCATATTATAGTTTATACATATTGTTAGTGAAAAAGAAGGTTCCCAATTAAGACTGCACTGTGCACATACACAGTGTAATGCATTTTGCGTGATATGTTAGAATGAAGGACAAAGAGGCGTAAAAAAAGGGGGTTTAGGCATGTATAGAGCATGGTCTGACACGTTTAGTTTACGTCTCGGTGTAGGGCTTTAACTCTGACACTGGGCATGCACAGTAATAACGTGAACTATCTCGATATTAAACATAATTAGTTTCTTCACTGTTTTTATGAAAGTAGACTAGTGTCTTAGAATTATTAGAAATTAGCAATAGTTGAACTTCCATACATGTACAAGTTGCCATAATGATTCCGACTTTTTATCCGCTTCAATTGTCGTGCAATAATAATAATAATAAATAAGCTTCAATATGCTCGGAAACTAGAAATAGAAATGCTTTTGAATTTTTAAGTGCAAACGTATTAGCCGATACAACATTATATGTGTAATGTTGAACCATTAATATTGACGATAAAATTTGCTTTGATTATTTGAGGAATTTAATCTACCGTTTTATTAGTCTGGAGCGGTATGTTTCATTAATACAGAATCGGTATAACTAAGTCATGAGGCCCATCCCACTTAACTGCATTGTTGCGTTTTGCGGCAAGGTCGTCCGTTACCTATAGTTTCGACATCGTATCTTTTCCGCTTTGCTTTGCAATGCAAAAGACAAATGTAGAATAATTTCGCAAAACTGTGAGAGTACATACAGTATTCTGCGCGCAACAATCAAAAACCATTGTGTGCCGTTTGCGTCTTTTTCGTGATTACTTTTGACGCTCATCTTTGCGAGATTTTCATTTTGTTAATTTGTTTGACCTAATCTCAAGTTATTTTTTGCAGGCATTGGCCTGTACTTTCTGAGGAAGTACTGTGCGGGTGGTGTGTGTCGTAGTCCCGCCAGACTGGATGGCAAAACCGTCATCATCACAGGAGCCAACACGGGCATCGGGAAGGAGACAGCACGTGATTTGGCCGCTAGAGGTACTCATAATATGCATAATGCGCAGTGTCAAAGGTGACCCCCCCCCTCGAAATGTAAACCCTGAACACCTTTGACATCGTTGTTGTTAATCGTTTGCATGTGCATATGCCATAAAGCACTTCCCCTGTCAATCTCCACACTAGTGTGTGCACTCTACATGACGACAGACGAAAACAATATTTCACACGAAAGAATGACCAACGATAACACCCACTGCTACGTTGTACTCTTCTCTATCATATGGAACTATGCCATGTATTCTTTCAAGTCATTCCTTTCAAAAGTGTACATAACAAGAAAAAAACAAACAATTTTTTTCAGAAGGATGACCAACGATACCGATAATAACAAAAAATTCAACCATGGACCCAATCTCCGAGCAGATGTAAAGATTCGGATCATCTTCAACGTTTTGCGTCTGTTTAACTTTTATGCATGAATCTTACTGATGGCATTGGCAAATTGTAATTAAATGTTCCTTCCTTTCATGAAAAAGGAGCCCGGGTGATCCTGGCCTGCAGAGATCTCACCAAAGCGGAAACTGCAGCATCCGAGATCCGAAAATCTACCGGAAACGGAAATGTCGTCATCGAACAGCTCGACCTGGCCTCCCTCGCCTCGGTCCGAACGTTCGCGACGATCATCAACGAGAGAGAGCCGAAAGTAAACATCCTCATCAACAATGCAGGTGTGTGGACGATTTGACTCCAAGCGCTAAGAACATAAAAAACATACATATTGCTACAAAATATATATGAAAGATAAAGAATTAATTTTGACCCTCTATATCTTCCACGCCGTAAAAACAATGCTCTTACACTACAGGGGACTAATATACATGTAAATGCTCATACAACGTTGGAGTCCATAACTTATGAAAATAGAACTGATGAGCAGATGAAATAAGTATTATACAACAAAATCTATGATCATGACTAGGGCAATGAAGTTTTTAGAGATCCAGGTAATGAGGTCTATACCAAGGTGATAGTTACTCAAGCAGCCGCATACATTTTACTCTACCTTCTGTCAGTGACTGCTCCCTGAAACGTCTGATCGTTTTCAGCAGCTGCGACCGAAAAGGTCTGGCCGTTTTCAAAATCTACCCAGTCGTTCGAATACCTATATCTTAACCTTTTCATATTTTTTTCTTTATACGCAACGTCGTTTTAGGAGTCGCTGCGTGCCCACAATGGAAGACCGAAGACGGTTTTGAGCTGCAGTTCGGCACAAACCACCTGGGTCACTTCCTCCTCACCAACCTGCTGCTGGACAAACTCAAGAACTCCGCGCCCAGCCGGGTCGTCATCGTGTCTGCCCTGGCGCATGTGTGGGGAAAGATCGACTTTGACGACATCAATTCAGAAACGTCGTACAGTCCTATTGGATCGTACTGTCAGTCCAAGTTAGCGAACGTGCTGTTCATGAGAGAGTTGGCCAGGAGACTTGAAGGTAGGGAAAAAGCTAACATTTTAATTTCTCTGCTAGGGTTCAAACGTTATATTTTTTTGTTATGCTTGTCTCGTGGTCAGAGGTTGAAAAAATACTTTTCTAACTTAGCAACATTCTTATACGTTTGAGAACACATGTGTCTCACATCCGATACAAATTCCCAAAAACAACAAACAACAACAAACATACGTTTGAGAACACATGTGTCTCACATCTTGTATGTAAATTCTTAGATACAATAACAAACAGGCATCATCATCATGGTCACCACATGTCAGTAGCTGCATGAACTGACGTGGGCCGTCATTGTTCTCCATTGATAAACAACAGACGTCAGTGTTGCCCTGTTAATCCTTCAGGAACTGGCGTGACGGTCAACGCCCTCCATCCCGGCGTCATGCACACAGAGATAGGTCGACACTTTTTCACCACGTTTGGCTGGGCGGCTCTTCCGATGATTCCCTTTGCTGCCGTCTACTACCTGTTCTGGAAGAGCGTGAAGCAGGGCGCACAGACCACCATACACCTGGCCGTGGACAGGGAACTTGAAACGACGTCAGGGCTGTATTTCAGGTCAGTCATAACTTATACATAACCACCGCCGCCATGTTGGTGATGCGATTGATTCAACATGGCCACCGCCCATCTGCCTTCTTGCCACTTGTTCGTAGTTGGCCGTGTCTAAATGCACAGTTTATACATACATATGTACAATCTACATGTACGAAATACATTTCTATGACGTTTAACAAAAGGTAAGTTAAGGTAAGGAAAGGCTAACAAAAGGAAAGGTAAAGGTGAATTTAATCAACTTCATACCTATGTACGTACGTTATAGTTACATGACCGTAATTAAACTTTTCTAAATTCCTCTCTAATTGTTAATGAAATAAACCCCTTTCCTCAGTCTGAATCTGAATGACATCAACTACGTTAAATTAGATGAACTATGATATCGTACGTTCAAACCGTCATTTGACATCTGACGTCTGTTTCAGTGACTGCCTGCCCTGTGACGTGTCTCCTCTGGCGAAGGACGAGGCGACCGCGAGAAGACTCTGGCGGCTCAGTGAAGAGATGGTGGGGCTGAAGGAGTGACGCAGTCAAAGGTCCCGTTCCACTCTGTGCAGAGCGTAGGGATGGTGCTCATCTCCATTTCTGTAGCCCTTTTCAACACAGTTGTGCAAGCACTACAGCAGGGGGGTTAGCCCACTGGCAGTGTTATGTGTTTGACCTTCCCATACTCTTTCTCATAGATGCATGCTGAATGATAAGCAGAGGACGCAGTATGTACCATTTTCAGGTCTTTCGTAGGATGACCCGGCGCGGCTTGGTTCTGGTTTGTACTCACGACCGGTTAGAAAGCGAGCACTCTACCGGATTGAGCTATTTTACCTTAAAAATAAAATAGATAGTGGAAGATTTATACTAAAACATGTATAAGCATGAAAGTTCATTTGAGTTGGTAGAATACATTATTAGAAACTTTAAACTCTTCTCCTACTCAAAGAATTACGGGGCGGGGACGATATCGACTTCCGACCAACTTTGACAATTACTGACGTTAGTGGACATTTAACTATTGACAGGATCTTCCTGTCACAGTGGGAAAATTGTTCTATTGACAGGATGATAATAGTGCATTTTTCTGTTATTGACAGGATGATCCTGTCAATAGTGCAGGTTTTTCCGCTATTGACAGGATGGTCCTGTCAATAGCCTTAGGCTTAATCTATAGCAGACAGATAGATATTTGCATACATGTATGTACATATAGAGAGTAACATTACTAGTATATCCACCCTATGCTTTACCTGTCGGTTTGTTAACGTCACTATGTCTCAGCACCCTTCCTCAACCAAGTGCCAAGCAAGGCCATCTAGCTTCTGGCTGATCACCGTAAGATGATCACGTGCATTTATTATGAATCCGATACGTTATGATACAACTTACATCCACATTTGATAAGCCCGGCCCTGTGAGACAAAATATCAGTTATCTATTTCCCACGTTTACTGTTATGGACCACATGTATATGAAATAAATTGTCAAAAGATGACTTGATTCTGACGCCCATCCCTCGGATATTTGTACACCATAGTAAAGGACTTTGCAGTCCACACACAGAAATAATTTTCGATACGTTCATCAGGTTATTGCAGATCGTTGCACTATGACCATTAAATGTGAAAGGGACAACAAAGATGGCGTTCAATTATTTTGAACTGACGAATAGCATGGTCGATTTCACCCGGGCCCACTGTGCCCTGATGTTGTCTGCTGTCGCCGGAGGTGAGTTCTTGTGACATCTTTGGAGCACATATATGACATCAAGAGGATATCATATAGACTTGAAGTTTTGTAGCGTTACGTTAATCTTGTATTTGTAGCCATACTGGGTCTGCCTGCCTTGTACGTGACCGAGATTTCCATTGGCCTGGTTACCGAACCGAATCTAGCTGCCGAGTCTCTTTCGACCTCTCCGCAAATATGTAGAAACGTTTACGTATACGCTGGTTGTTGCAGATTGTCGTGTTGTTAATTTGACCTAAAATTGTAAGTTTAAATTGTAGCAATTGTATCAAACCCAGTCGTCCAGGGAGTTTTCGCCGTGGCCTGAGCGCGCCACGCCCGCGTCGAGCGCGTTTGGTATCTCGCCCTGCAGCCAGACATGCTAGAGTAGTGCGGAGCGGCGAAAACTCCCTGGGGATGGATTGTGTTACGGAGGGCTAGTTGTCTAGCGAGCCGACTAGAATGGCCAAGCCCCGCGGTCATCTGGCATCCAGGGTAGGAGTTAATCAACCAGACGTATTAAGTACGCACAAAAGTATATTTGTGTGATTGCTTTGGACTCTCTTTGTTCAAAGATTTTCAATTTGTTTGCCCGATGACGTAGGCGTTGGCCTGTACTTTCTGAGGAAGTACTGTGCGGGTGGTGTGTGTCGTAGTCCCGCCAGACTGGATGGCAAAACCATCATCATCACAGGAGCCAACACGGGCATCGGGAAGGAGACAGCACGTGACCTGGCCGCCAGAGGTACAGCCGATGTCATCAAATAATTTCTTTGACATTGTCGTTAACTTTGACCAAGGTGATGGAAGCTCCTTGCTTTGACACGCCAGGGAGCATAGCTATTCTTCCTTCCCTATTAAACTATGCACTGTGTTTCCTCAAAGTATTTCTTATACAATTTGACGACATGACGACAGAGGAAAACAAATTTTGAGTCAAAAAGATGACCAACGATAACACGATACAACAGAAATTCAATCAGAATGTGTTCAGTCACCCAATCTCCATTTCAAAGAAAAACAAGGATCCGCACCTAAAGTTTAAGCTTCTTTTATAACATTTAGTACTCTTCTATGTAAGCATCTGGCCGTTTGCGTTAAGAAAGGTTTTCAACCTTCCTTAAAAAAAGGAGCCCGGGTGATCCTGGCCTGCAGAGATCTCACCAAAGCGGAAACGGCAGCATCCGTGATTCGAAAATCTACCGGAAACGGAAATGTCGTCATCGAACAGCTCGACCTGGCCTCCCTCGCCTCGGTCCGAACGTTCGCGACGATCATCAACGAGAGAGAGCCAAAAGTAAACATCCTCATCAACAATGCAGGTGTGTGGACGATTTGACTACAATTAAGGGCAGGAACACATATATATACACTATAACGTTGACATAACATATATGAAAAGTGAAGAATTTAACCCCTCACCTACTTCTAAATCATTAAAGCAATGCTCTTGACAACAATGGACTAAATGTTTATGTATATATTTGTACTTGTACTTACTGTTGGAGTCTATAACTTATGAAAATAGTTACCATAGCAGATGAAATATGTATTTTGCAGGCCATGGTCATGACTATAAAATGACTGTTAGACATCCAATGTGGTACCAAAATTAACGTAACAGTTACTCAGGCAACTGCATAAATTTTAGTCTACGTTTTTTTTTCAGTGACTGCTACCTGAAACGTCTGACCGTTTTCAAAATCTGTGCATTTGCTTGAGTAACTGTTTTCCTCGGTAAAGCCAGTAAAGCCATGGTTACTTATTATATTTTGATCTTTACGTTAATTCGAATTCGTTTTAGGAGTCGGTGCGACCCCAAAGTGGGTAACAGAAGACGGTTTTGTTCTGCAGTTCGGCACGAACCACCTGGGTCACTTCCTCCTCACCAACCTGCTGCTGGACAAACTCAAGAACTCCGCGCCCAGCCGGGTCGTCATCGTGTCTAGCGTGATGCACGAGTGGGGAAAGATTGATTTTGATGATATCAGTTACGAGAAGTCGTACAGTCCTATTGGATCGTACTGTCAGTCCAAGTTAGCGAATGTGCTGTTCATGAGAGAGTTGGCCAGGAGACTGAAAGGTAGGAAAAACATAATTTTCTTTTTAAAATTAAACGGTCAGATATTTTTTCGATGCATCAGAGGTGGAAGGTTTATTAAAGTATTTCAATCTTTCTGATTATATTTTGTAACCATTGCATAGTTTTAACATCATTATATGTGTGTTAGCAACATTGTTCAAGAACGTTTGCAAATATATTATTTTCTTACATCTTGAAAATCTGGAAATAAAAAAAATGAACAACAACACACAGGCATCATAATCATGTTCAACGCATGTCAGTAACTGCATGAACTGAGGTGTGCCACCATTGTGCTCCACTGATAAACAATAGACGTCAATATCGCCCTGTTAATCCTTCAGGAACTGGTGTGACGGTCAACGCGCTCCATCCTGGCTGGACACGCACGGAGTTAGCTCGGCACTTGGCCACCACATTCGGCTGGGCATCTCTGCCGATGGTTCCAGTTGCTGCCATCTTTTGTTACATGTTTTGGAAGAACGCGAAACAGGGCGCACAAACCACCATACACCTGGTCGTGGACAAGGAACTTGAAACGACGTCAGGGATGTATTTCAGGTCAGTCTTTACCTTATGCGTCACAACTTATAAATAACCATAACTACCGCCGCCATGTTGGTGATGTGATTGATCCAAGATGGCCACCGCGCTTCTGCTTTCTCACCGCTTCTACATGAATATCTGTAGTAGTGCGCTATATCTGAATATACTGTTTATACATACAGTAGACACGTATCCTATTCTTTTCTTTAAATGTTAACAAATAAAAGGGTAGGTAAAGGTAAATTTGGTAAACTTCATGCCGTTGTACTTGCATTGATATGCATTATAGTCCGTTCATAAACACCATTCAGCGTATTTCAAACAGTTCAATATGGTTCTATTCACTCGCTGTTTTGCAGTTCCTACTTCTGAGTTAGATCGACTACTCTACCATGAATTAGATCAAATATGACATCGTACGTTTAAATCGTCATTTGACATCTGACCTCTGTTTCAGTGACTGCCTGCCCTGTGACGTGTCTCCTCTTGCGAAGGACGAGGCGACCGCGAGAAGACTCTGGCGGCTCAGTGAAGAGATGGTGGGGCTGACGGAGTGACGCAGTCAAAGGACCCGTTCTGCCGTTCCACTCTGTGCAGAGGGGTGCCCATCTCCGTTTCTGTAGCCCTTTGGCCACACAGTTGTGCAAGCACTACAGCAGGGGGCTATCCCACCGGCAGTGTGTTTGACTTTCCCACACTCTTTCTAGTAGATGCTGAGTGCTAAGCACTACCCAATTGAGCTATAGCTATTGCACCGGAAACAGTCACCTTACACCTTAAAATATATAGTGGATGATTCATACAACAACATAAGCATGAAAGTTCATTTGAGCCGGTAGAACACATTATGAGAATCTTTAAACTGTTCTCCAACTCAAAGAATTACTTACGGGGGACGAAATCGACTTCCGATCAAATTTGACCCATTATTGACGTCACACATGAATGAAACCATAGGAATCGGGTTAGAAAGCTATGCGTTATAATTTCTCTGTAGTGACTACAAGCCAAATAAAGCTTCTGTCGGTAAGGATGACGCAACGGCCAAGAAACTCTGGTAGATCAGTGAAGAAATGGTAGGGCTCAGCGGCTAACCTACCGGAGGATTGAGACAGTTGATGAACATGCATAAGTGAGTGAAAACCAAGAAAGTTGATATAAATTATGGAAACTTAAGAAAGTGTTGCTACATACATAAAAACCTGTTTAAAAAAACAGTTTCAAAATCTTGTCAATTACATGTGTATCAACTGTTGTTGCAGCAGGTTTTCCAAATTGATCACATAAGTCTACATATTCTTTTCAAACACTTACTTCAAATATGACTTTATTCTGAGGCCCATCCCTCGGATATTGAAAATTTCTTTGGGTCAGTATCTTTTGTCGTCCGCACGGTCGTTAACCCTTGGACTATTGACCCCAGCGTTTTTACAACAGAACAAGATGGCGGAATCTGGTACTGGTGGGATGGAAGCACAACAGTCATGTATCGTCACAGTTACAGGGATTCTTGTGGGAGGTAAGATGTTAATTCTTTAAAATTTTAAATGATGATGCATAATATATCATTCTAAGCCATAACAGCGTTGCCCCTCTAACGTTATATAACCCCGTCACTGCAGTAAGATCAATCGATCACACATATCATAATTTATAGGGGTCATTCCATATTTGGCCACACCAAGTAAATTTTATGGATGACGTCCGCGCGCGCATTGATTTTGGCCTGTTCCTAGAAAAAACCCAAGAAATTCCGCTTCCTGTAACTATGACCAAAGAGTCACGTCAGTGCCGCAAATCGTCAGATTGACGTGAAGCCCGTAACGCGAAAACAGGACAGGACGACAACTGCTGTTCCACCTGATTTATTGCTGTTTTGATGATGAATAAAAGACTTCTGGCTTGTTACACTGTGTAACCTCATTCAATTTGTGTCCTAACATTTGTCGTCTCTTAGTAAATTTCTAATCTAGGCATCTTGTTTTTAGGGCCCTTCTTGTTTTTTTCTTGCCCTCTCGCATTAGATTTAGGGTCTCCAAAGGACGTCATCCATAAAATTTACTTGGTGTGGCCTTTTCAGAATTTTAGCTGAGTCATTCCTGGCGCACACGCATAGACAGGAACAGAAATCCATGAGGAGGGTTTATACTTGTTACGGGTATGCTGGTTCTACATGTATGTCACGGTCCTAAAGAAAATGATTGTTCTCTATTTAACATCATTAAGTACAGTAACGGAAGAGGTATGTACAGAACTTTTGCAAGCCAGGATTTGATAGAACCTCTTTTCATTGTTAAAAATAATTCTAGGCGTGTCCAGTGATGGCCACATACCCGAAAGGGCCAGTGTGCTACGCCGGATTTAATCGCGAGCATACAGGTTCAGTTCACAAATGCAAATACCAAAAGCAAACATCTGGCTGGGCAGCTTACAAACAACGCATTCACCACAGTAACAGGTCAGTCATTGAATATGCTACAACATTACCCGTTAAAAAAACACTCGTGTCAGAACTGTAATGAGATAGATACTTCTGCATTGATCTACAGTAGTAGCCGGAGTGGTGCTTGTGAGGAAGTACTTCGGCGGAGGTGTGTGCCGCAGTAACGCACGGCTGGACGGGAAGACAGTCGTCATCACCGGGGCGAACACAGGCATCGGCAAGGAGACGGCGAGGGACATCGCCAGGAGAGGTAGGGTGAATACAAAATAGTACGTAATGAATTGCAGTCTGTCATTTACGTTTCCCACTATACAAGTCCTTAATGAAAGCTCTAGCTATTCAGTTATCTATTTTTTTGTTGAGATAAGTATTTCCATCCAAACACGTGCTAAGAACCTTTACCTGTGTTAACAAATCGTGTTTTTACTAGTAAGAGAATCAATACAACCTCTTACTGGTGAAAAAATGAGTTAACACCCCAACCAGACCACACATTTTGTTTGGTTGCAGTGAAGAAATATATATGAAAATTGATATGCATATGCATATTTGTTGTTTTCTGTTAAAAAAAGGTGCCCGAGTGATCCTTGCCTGTAGGGACCTGACCAAAGCTGAGGCTACTGCTGCAGAGATTCGCAGGGACACCGGAAACGGAAATGTCGTCATGGAGAAGTTAGACCTGGCCTCGATGAAGTCTGTTCGAGAGTTCGCACTCAAGGTCAACGCCACAGAGTCTCGACTGGACATTCTCATCAACAACGCTGGTTAGTACTCAACGGTTAGGAGAGAGGGACATAATTCGAAAATAAAGGTTAGAGTTGAATAAAGTTGTTCTATCTGTATTTAACCCACCATAATGCATTGACAATATTTTTGTCAACCCTACATTGACAGGAATCATGACTTGCCCACAATGGAAGACCGAAGACGGTTTTGAGATGCAGTTCGGCACGAACCACCTGGGTCACTTCCTCCTCACCAACCTGCTGCTGGACAAACTCAAGAACTCCGCTCCCAGCCGGGTCGTGACGGTGTCCTCCAACGCTCACATGCGGGGCGGGAAAATCCACTTTGATGACATCAACTTGGAGAAGACGTACACCCCATACAGTGCCTATGGACAGAGCAAGCTGGCCAATATACTGTTTACTACGGAGCTGGATCGACGGTTGAAAGGTGAGAATAAACCAACTTGAGCTTTATTCCACAACATTTGTAACAGATATGATGTACAAGTTGGTGAACAGTACTATATATCAACACTATTCTATTTATAGTGAACAAGCATTAAATACTAAAGTAATTGTACAATAATTGGAATGCACAGGAGGCGTTGTGAGACGTTGCGAGTGTTTTCGTTCACGGTCCGTATCAAAGAAACAATAGTTGACGTCCCTGCATTTTTCTGATTCTTTTTTGAGCTGTAGGCACCTAAAAGTAGTTATCTGAGACGGCCAAAAGATATTGAAATGTCCAAAAACGTTTTACTGTTATGCACATAGGGACACCGAGATGGCGACCTGTACACAGCGATGGATTTCAGATGCATTTTAACTCAACTTTTGCCTTGTCCATAACAGGAACTGGAGTGACGGCCTACAGTCTCCACCCAGGCGTCATTGCCACCGAACTAGCACGCCATATGGATGTGTCATTTGGCCTGGGGTTCACTCTTCTGAAACCTGTCCTTCGGGCCTTTATGCTCCTGTTTGGGAAGAGGCCCCAACAGGGCGCCCAAACCACCATCCACTGTGCGGTGTCAGAGGGTCTGGAAGAGTTTTCTGGACAATACTTTGCGTGAGTGCCGATGTCCAATTTAGTTCTTTCATCTTGTCTAGTGATATAAGATTCAGAAAGAAGCCAACAAATGCCATCCCAATTTCCTGCATTGGCAGACAAGAAGACTACTCTCGTCTTAACACCACAGAACCCACACATTACAGAACAAGTAGGTTCTTTCGTTTTCCAATGTCTCGAAAAAAGTAGTCAAACCCAAGAACAAGTTATATTCTAGAGCTATCTTTTAGAGTAGAATTGTCACATTTTGTATGAATTTTGTATGCCAGTGCACTTGGCCTTGGACAAGAATGTGCAATTAACTTTCCTTTCTTATTAATAACAACTGGAAATTACAGAAACTGATTATGTTTCATTCTGTTTCTGTAGGGACTGCGCTCCGAAAAAGCCCAGCAAGGAGGCACAAGATGACCAAACTGCGAGGAGGCTCTGGGAGCTTAGCGAAGAAATGGTCGGACTGAAGTGAAATGCGATAGGTTTTGCCTACAGGTCAACTCTGATATATCCATATCTCTGGCAAAATATCAATCTCCTCGTGAATCTACAATAGATTTCAGCCCATACTCAACAAAACTGTGACGAGTTGTCAATAGTCATGTATATAAGACAATATGCATAAACATTCCCATGCGTAAAATGATATCACTCAAAACAAGGTTCTATTATAAAAGAGGTGGATTTAACTAATTTGATTAGCATTAAGCAGGCGTTCCTTTGATTTCTTATGCATTCTTACTTCACGATAATAAAAAAGGTAAAACCCAAGATTATATATGATTCCATGATGGGCCTTCGTTGAAGTCATCAGTATAAGTTTGAAAAGTTTTCACGGGCCGCTGGTCCTGAACACAATGACAACAATAATCACAACGATTCACGTGTCGTCATGCCAAGACTCCATATGTTAGCTACTGAGCACAGGAGACGCGTGATACCTGTGTCCAAGTCGATATAGTCTGCCTATAACCTCTTAATTTTAAACTTATCATAATGGCACACATTACAAGATGTAACGTTAGAGAAGTTAATTAAAACTTCGAGTGGTACTCGCTTATTCAATTTGCCGGTGCCTTGCTGCCTCCAATACTGACTGTGGACTACACTTTTATATATATATATGATATTGATACCTATCTCATACTAGCCACCCACTTTTGTATTAGATTAGCCTTATGAAAATGTAGTTGACATGTACTTACTTAAGTTAGTAGATGCCATAGTTTGTACACTGTACAATTGTTGCACAATAAAGTTATGAAGTGTTGACCGAATGGACGTTAACCTCTGGAATGCAGTACTCTGTTTTGGCTGCCAGTGTTACTCAATCTAGCGGAACAAGATGGCGGCGAGTGGAGGTATGATGGAAACACTGCAGGCGAACTCTGCTGTTGTTATCGGAGTAGTTCTGGGAGGTAAGATCATCGGACGGTGCAAACAGTTGATATTACATTAGTATTTTGTATTTTTGATCTATTCCTTTTCGGTGCTGTTGCCTTATAACAGCTACCCTAACACACAGATGGCGGTATTGGATTTTACATGGGGGGCCCCATGCAAGGTTTTCGCTGGTGGTTCGCTTTGATTAGATGAAACTTCGCTAACCCTCATAGCTTAAAGTTTGTAAAGCGATGGAATGTTTAAAGAACGTTTTCACCATTGTTGATGAACAAATAAAACTCGCATTCCGACATGGAAGACGTCTACGTTTGATTAGACCAGGTAACCGTTGAAATTGGTGACTAATAGACTGGTAATATTTTATAGGTGCTTTTCTTGTGGTACTACGTGTTTAGATTTTTTAATACGTAGTACGTGTAAACCGCGATATAATCTATGCCATCTATGTTTTGTTTCGTGTCAGCAATGTTATAACCCCATGTCGAAAACACCGGCATTATCACACAACGTACAGAGGTAAAAGAAAAACAAGGAATCAGCAATGCACCTGGAAGCACCTGGACCAGTTAGTCTAGTATGCAAATGACGGTGAAAGGTCATTCCTCCTGGTTGACCTATATTCCCTTCCCTCAGCGCATCAATGTGCATTTGGTTCGTACAGAATAAGAGCACACTGTCATCAATTCGCATGCCTAAAGGAAAAGAAAATTAAAAGAAAATTATAAGCATGAATTGTGAATCTGCATGGACTATCGAATTGAATTTACAATTCAATACTGAACACTAGTGGGACTTTTTTTGCATTAAACTCGGCCTGCCAATATAAAGAAATATTAGATATTAAAATACATGAATATTTCCAATTTTATATAGTATATTTGTGAGGAAGACTTTTTGTTGCAATTTTTTTTCATTCGTACAAGTACAATCCATGATGATGAGTGGCCAATGAAATAGACTTTACACATGATAAGTTGCTCCACGGGGAAACTGACCTATCCTGCATCTATCTACTCTGCAGTAGCCGGAGTGGTGCTTGTGAGGAAGTACTTCGGCGGAGGTGTGTGCCGCAGTAACGCACGGCTGGACGGGAAGACAGTCGTCATCACCGGGGCGAACACAGGCATCGGCAAGGAGACGGCGAGGGACATCGCCAGGAGGGGTAGGGCGTATGGATTATACTAAATAGTACCTTTCTATTGACAGAAAACAATTGATTCAGCCTAAATAGTTGTAAAAGAACACTGCTTCAAGACCGGAATGGCCATTAATTCAATCATTTGAAAAAAAAAGAACACTGCTGTATTACCCCTTTAAGGTATCATGTCCAGTCAAGCTTAATGATCTCACATTTTATGACCGCATCATTACTAGTATCAAATAACTGAACAGTATTATTACTCCGTGAAGGAGGTCAGGACCTCCGGACGGAGTGTTGTAATCGGCTGATTTTTCATGTTCGCAGTCAAAACACTGGGTTCTCTTTGTGTAATCGGCACGCAATTTTATACGCCGTCTGCGGGCATGCCCGTGTTGATGCACGAATGTGTATTTTTGCCGTTGCTGCTTTCGCGGTCAATGTAATATCGCAGACGCACCCCTACAATTACGAGGCGAATTGGAATGGTCCAGAAAAACGCGTTGTTTGGAATAGCAGTGGGGTTCAAAAAAGTTCATGCAGATACGGGGTGGTTTTTATAAGTGGTTCCAGATGTTTTTGCCCATGGTTAAGAGATGCCAAGTTTTTTGGAAGATGTTCGCAGCCAAAACGCATTCTTCCGTACGTCGCATTTCTGTGTAATTTCCCATGTGGTGTTGCATTATGTCCGGGATGATGCACGTCTTTTTATTTTTACCGTAGCTGTTTTTGATATTGGAGTAAATGCTTATTTTCGAAACATCCCCATTTCTTTGAAATGGTTTCGTCCGTTTATGCAACTGTTACTGCGCTAATGACGACCAGTCGCGCTGTCCTGATACACCGCGACTGTGCGAGTGTTCCCTGTAGACAGTCCCGGGAGTCATTTTTTTTGCACATTCCAGGAGCCAAACCAAAATACGTTCATGAACCGAGTCCAAAAAACCGAAACGTGAAAATCGGATGATCGGACCTGATGTACATTTCTCTTTCTATAGATTGTACACACAATACACACATCTTTAGATAATCTGGCCATGGCAGGTTAAAAAAAAAGTAACCCTGAATCATACTAGATTAGCGTAAATGCATGTTAATGCGTTCAAAACAAGAAAAAAATTGTTTCCGGGTATTAATCTCTTGAATCACGGCGCTGAATATTGACGCAAAAATATTTCGGGCATCGCGCGCCCTTCCCGCGTCACGTGTAGGCATCTCGCATCTCTGATTGGTTGTTGCGTCTTAAGATGACTGAGCCGACGCGCGTTTTAACAATTTTTCTTTGTTCGATTTATCACACTTCACAGAGAATTGTCGCCAATGGCTACTTCTTTTTGTTGCAATATATAATACTTCACGGAGAATTGTCGCCTATGGCTTCTTGTTTTTTCTGCAGATGTTTTTCTTTCCATTTTGAAGCACATACGTTCTTCATTATAATTTTAGTAAGATATTACTAATGTCTAGTAATTGTATAGTTTAATTAAGATATTACTGTAATTTCTCCTGGTTAGGTGTACTTAGCTTCTAACAGCATAAACGTACAATAAAGGTTTTTCATTCATTATTAAAAAAAAACTGTGTCCAAGATCTACCCCATTAAACGATATTTTAAAGATTGGAAATAAGTGAAAGAACTTGTCTGAGGTCTTTTAGGCATTCTCATCTTAGTTTTCTACGGACGGAGGGAGCTATGTTATCTACTCCTAATAGGCAGGTGCAGTGCACGTACCTTTAAAGTTACTTTCATGACTAAGCAATCAATAGTGAGTTTACTTCTTCTCAATACAAAAGGTGCCCGAGTGATCCTTGCCTGTAGGGACCTGGCCAAAGCTGAGTCTGCTGCTGAAGCGATTCGTAAGGACACCGGAAACGGAAATGTCGTCGTAGAGAAGCTGGACCTGGCCTCGCTGAAGTCCGTCCGGGAGTTCGCAGCCAAGGCCAACGGCACGGAGTCTCGACTGGACATTCTCATCAACAATGCTGGTTAGTTTTGAGTGGTTGGATACAGTATCATAACATGGCGTATGGGGAGTCTGGGCCTCACAAGCAATTGTGCAATCACTACAGCGGGCATGCTCTGAAATTTGGGTGTAAGAGAACAGTCGTCAACCTCAATTATATATATCGGTGCTAGGTTCTACAACAATGTAATGTAGCCATAGATGGTTTTCTTTATTACAATACACATGATCATACATGAATAGTCCATACATGAATAGTCCTGCAGAAATATTTCAAGACTGGGGATCTGAGATTTGAGCCAAAAGCTCATATCATGTTTATTTTCATGTGACGTGTTTGTCTTTTGTACAATACTTCAGGAATCATGACTTGCCCACAATGGAAGACCGAAGACGGTTTTGAGATGCAGTTCGGCACGAACCACCTGGGTCACTTCCTCCTCACCAACCTGCTGCTGGACAAACTCAAGAACTCCGCTCCCAGCCGGGTCGTCAATGTCGCCTCTTCGGCGCACTATGGAGGGCACATCCACTTTGATGACATCAACCTGGAGAAGAGTTACGGACCAATCAAGGCCTACTGTCAGAGCAAGCTGGCCAACGTGCTGTTTACCAAAGAACTGGATCGAAGAATGAAAGGTTCGTACGATCATTGTGGCTAATATTTGATAGATTGAACCGTTCCTTTCCGCACTCTGCCTCATCTTCTCATGTCTGAA